TTGATGATTAAAATAGTAATCTTATGTGTACTTTCTTATCTACAATTTTAATATTCAACTTAATATAAAAAATTATTATTCTTATAATATCACTTAATATTCAATTTCATATATCAGTTTGTGGGCAAATATGATTTGCCTTTTTTAATTAAATATTTAAAAAAAAATCAATTTTAAAAGTTTTTAAAGGGGTTTGATGATCTAATAATATAAAATACTATTTCTCATTTATTTAAAAATAAAAATAAAAAATACCATTGTTTTATAAGGTAGATAAAAAAGGCAAATCATATTTGTCCACATATTATTAGAAATCTTCATCTATTATCTATCTATTATCAATCTATTAAAAGTAAAGTACCTGGAAATTTCAAGTCTAACCTTTTGATTAGATGTTATAATTTTTCTTATTTCAAGGGTATAATAGACTAATCAACACTATGCTGTTACCATATTCATTTGCCATTTAATTTTGACATGTCAATCTATCATAATTTTACACTATTTTTTTATTTATTTGATTTATTAATTTATTTTATTTATATTTGAATTTTATTTATATTTAAATTCCAATTCCAATGTTTCATTCATGGTTAATTTATTTATATTTGAATTCCAATGTTTTTTTTTTGACAGAATTTGAATTCTAATGTTTGACTCACGGTTAATGAGGAAGGAATTGGAATGACCAAATTAAATCTATTATAATTAAATGGAATATTATTCATTGCATGATTTAAAAATATCCACTATTTATCATTACACTACGAGATTAAATGTATATTATTGGAATTAGAATGAATTATTTTGATATTCCAAGATATCACAACTTCCCATGCATTCTAAACCCTATATATAGTCATTCTAAATCATTACTCTTTCACTCTTCAATCTTCTTCATTCTCCATTATTTTCAAAAGGTTACGTATTATTTTCCAATTCTTCTTCATTTCCATATTTTGATTCTCTGTGTCCATTTTAATATAGATTTTGTAATAGGTCTAAATAGTAACATCAATGGCGCGACCGATTGAAATTAAATATATAAAGTGAATCATTAAAATTGATAAAATTTTCTATCATTTTAAAACAAATTTATTAAAAAATATTAGCAAAATTGTGATTTGTTTAAAATTTTAAGTAAGTATTATTATAGTTTAAATAATATTTGTTACTAAAATATATTAAAAATCATGTATTTTTATGAAATATTATTAAAAAGCATGTATTTTTAAGAAATGTTAATAAAAATCGTCTCATTTTTATTAATATTTCTTAAAATACTTTATTTTGAATATTTCTTAAGAAAATACTTTTGAAAGAAACTATTATACGTATGATAACTTTACAAAGAGTTAATTGATCAATTAATTCAATTAGATCATTTTCAAAAGATTAATCGATTCATTGAAATTCAATTAAATTGAATTAATGAAAATAAAATATATAATATTGATATAATTTTAAATAGCATTCAAAAAGTATTTTAAGAAAAAACTATATAATTTTGAATGCTATTGATATATTTTAAAATAATTTAGATTTTTATAAAAAGTTTAATAAAACAAAATAAAATCAATTGAAATTCTATAATTTTTTAAAACTTATTAAATAACTAAAATTTATGAGAATCTTTTCAATGGTAATCATGATAAAAAATATTAAATGGTAGTCATGAAAATTTAATGATAAATGGTAATCATAAAAAATTAATGATAAAAAGTAAAAATTTAATGATACAATTATTTCTATAAACGGAATAAGTTACAATTATTTTTATACAAGAGAATAACTTACAAATATTTTTATAAATGGACACACGAGTTCAATGTGTTTATAAACGCAAAAAAAGTTAGAATAACTTTATAAACGCGAATAAGTTACAAATATTTTTATAAAGGATAAAAATTGAAGTACTAAAACAATTATTTTTAACATGAATAAATTAAATTTTACTTTATAAATTATCACACGGGTTCAAGTCCCTTATAAACGGGAAAAAGTCTATATGTTGATATAAATATTTTTATATACGGAAATAAGTTACAATAATTTTTTTAAACTAGAATAAGTTACAAATATTTTTATAAACGAAAAAAATTCAATTTATTATTCAATTATTATTATAAATCGGAATAAATTACAAATATTTTTTTATAAATAGACACACGAATTCAATGCGCTTTCTATGTTTGTAACTATATAAATGTTAATTAACTGAATAAATATATACAAATTTGATAAATGAGAGTGAGAGACGTATAATGTGAATTCAGACGGTAACCGTATGATAGCACGAGTTTCTTACTATTTAATGTTGTTAATTTCATATTAATTTCTAATGCACCGGTTTTCTAAACGTCGTTTTTAAAGACTTTTCATTGCTATTTTCAGAATATACTATTTCAAATTATTCTATTTTTTTCTTATATATAATTAATGTTTTTTACTAATTCTAAATTATGACACTTAAATTACATTTTTGCTAACTCTATAGTTTTCTTCTATTAATTGTTTCTTATTCAATTCTTATATTATATAATTTAACAATAAAGACTTAATACTCTCTTAGTCAAATATATTAATCTAAGATTTCTTTTTTATTTCTCATTTTATTTCTCAATTTAATAGCCGTAGATTGTTCATCTTAATGAAGGACTTTACAGGCATAGATCCACAGGTAAATGTGAACGTATCTATAAATATCACCGTAAACTGTTCATTTTAATGTTCATCTTTTAAATCTTTCTTTTGCTACTGTTTTATATTAATTCAGTATTTTTAACATGAATAAATTAAATTTTACTTTATAAATTATCACACGGGTTCAAGTCCCTTATAAACGGGAAAAAGTCTATATGTTGATATAAATATTTTTATATACGGAAATAAGTTACAATAATTTTTTTAAACTAGAATAAGTTACAAATATTTTTATAAACGAAAAAAATTCAATTTATTATTCAATTATTATTATAAATCGGAATAAATTACAAATATTTTTTTATAAATAGACACACGAGTTCAATGCGCTTTCTATGTTTGTAACTATATAAATGTTAATTAACTGAATAAATATATATAAATTTGATAAATGAGAGTGAGAGACGTATAATGTGAATTCAGACGGTAACCGTATGATAGCACGAGTTTCTTACTATTTAATGTTGTTAATTTCATATTAATTTCTAATGCACCGGTTTTCTAAACGTCGTTTTTAAAGACTTTTCATTGCTATTTTCAGAATATACTATTTCAAATTATTCTATTTTTTTCTTATATATAATTAATGTTTTTTACTAATTCTAAATTATGACACTTAAATTACATTTTTGCTAACTCTATAGTTTTCTTCTATTAATTGTTTCTTATTCAATTCTTATATTATATAATTTAACAATAAAGACTTAATACTCTCTTAGTCAAATATATTAATCTAAGATTTCTTTTTTATTTCTCATTTTATTTCTCAATTTAATAGCCGTAGATTGTTCATCTTAATGAAGGACTTTACAGGCATAGATCCACAGGTAAATGTGAACGTATCTATAAATATCACCGTAAACTGTTCATGTTAATGTTCATCTTTTAAATCTTTCTTTTGCTACTGTTTTATATTAATTCAGTATTTTTAACATGAATAAATTAAATTTTACTTTATAAATTATCACACGGGTTCAAGTCCCTTATAAACGGGAAAAAGTCTATATGTTGATATAAATATTTTTATATACGGAAATAAGTTACAATAATTTTTTTAAACTAGAATAAGTTACAAATATTTTTATAAACGAAAAAAATTCAATTTATTATTCAATTATTATTATAAATCGGAATAAATTACAAATATTTTTTTATAAATAGACACACGAGTTCAATGCGCTTTCTATGTTTGTAACTATATAAATGTTAATTAACTGAATAAATATATACAAATTTGATAAATGAGAGTGAGAGATGTATAATGTGAATTCAGACGGTAACCGTATGATAGCACGAGTTTCTTACTATTTAATGTTGTTAATTTCATATTAATTTCTAATGCACCGGTTTTCTAAACGTCGTTTTTAAAGACTTTTCATTGCTATTTTCAGAATATACTATTTCAAATTATTCTATTTTTTTCTTATATATAATTAATGTTTTTTACTAATTCTAAATTATGACACTTAAATTACATTTTTGCTAACTCTATAGTTTTCTTCTATTAATTGTTTCTTATTCAATTCTTATATTATATAATTTAACAATAAAGACTTAATACTCTCTTAGTCAAATATATTAATCTAAGATTTCTTTTTTATTTCTCATTTTATTTCTCAATTTAATAGCCGTAGATTGTTCATCTTAATGAAGGACTTTACAGGCATAGATCCACAGGTAAATGTGAACGTATCTATAAATATCAACCGTAAACTGTTCATTTTAATGGTCATCTTTTAAATCTTTCTTTTGCTACTGTTTTATATTAATTTAGTATAGAATTCATTTTTGACTAAATTGTAGAATCTTTTTAATAAAATCAAATTAACATTAAAGATTTAATACTCTTTTGGTCAAATATATTAATATAAGAGTTCTTTTTATTTCTTAATTTAAAAGTTGATGCATATTATTAGTCTATATTTGTAACTATGTGAATGTTAATCAACTAAAAAATATATTCAAACTTGACAAATGAGATTTGACAACGTATAATGTGAATCTAGACGGAACCCGTGCGATAGCACGGATATCTTAGAGCATAAATATCATTGTTTTTTTTAAGAAGTATATAATTTTTCCTATTTGTTCATGCAGACGTGATTTGTTGATAGGACCGACGCTTGCTACAAATATGGAGTTAAATGCCAACATGGTTTACATGAGACATATACTCAACTGAAAACATGGTAACATACTTAATAATTTAATAATCTATAAATGTAATGTGAATCCAGACGAGACCCGTGCGATAGCACGAATTTGTTACTAGTTACATATAAACTTGTTCACTCTAATTAATTACTACATTTACCACCCGGTCCTCCAAATTGAATAGAATATCCGTTACTTCTTTTTCTATCTTCATAGTTCGTAACACCATAACAATTAGGTGCATCATTGTCTATTCCTACCATAAATGGTAGAGGATCAAAATGTTTTTGAATTTTATTCAAAAATTTCAAAAACCTAAAATAAGATGCATGAGTGAAGTCACCATCAGGTTTGTGTCCGGAACCCATTGTAGGACTATCAGTACCCGCAGGAGTTACAGTATATCCACCAAATCCCACTTGATCAGCTCCGTTGAATGAGGAGAATAAAGCTGCAGGAAAGTATCCAACATCCTTATTTAACACTTTTAACCACCAATTGCCTCCTTTATCCTGAACACCACAATATTTTAAGACTTTACTATTACAATTGTAATAACTCAAAATTGTATGATTAAATTAAAAGAATATAATATCATTTTAAATGTATATATTTGATAATATTATATAACCGCTTGCTAACGTTAGAATTTGAAAAATATTTTTATAACGTTACATAATTTAAATATTTTAAATTTAAACTTTACGTAAATAGATGATTTTACCTGTGCAATTTGAAGTGGCATTTCCATTATGGTTCCGCCAAAAGTAGATGTTATAGATATACGTGCACCAAAAGTGTATGATCTATCAACTTGAATGAAACCTTTACATAACATATTAAAACATCCATTTTTACCTGACTGTAGTTTTTTAAAACCGCGTTATATTTTAATAAACAAGTATTTTGATTTTCTAACTAAATAACATAAAAATTGAGATTAATAAAATATAAAAAAATATTAAAAATAATAATAAAATTATTCATAACAATTTATGTCACTTATATAAAATAATTTATATACTATTAATCATTGAATATTAAATAATATATAAATATTTACTTACCATCCAAAACAAGTATAAATGTGTTTGGTTGTCATTATATAATTCGGGAAACACCTAACATCGAATACAAAATAAATTAGAAAATAACTCACAAGTCTTCAAATTCATTTAAATATAAAATGTATATCCATTTATACGTACATATTTTTAAAATAAACGAACATTAAAATTATAGAATAAATTTAAACTCACATGCCATCCGATTGAGATTTTGTCAATGTTATCTCCTTCTCCTCTTTTAACATATAAATGACTTGCGCTTGATTGACCTTTATAAACATTTGGATTCCAAACACTAGTAGTTCCACTTACTCCATAATAAGGAGCACCAATTCTTGAAAGATACACACGAGCAAATTACAATTTCAATGGATTTACATATTAATTAAAAATAATAATATATTAATTTTATATATATATATATATATATATATATATATATATATATATATATATATATATATATATATATATATATATATATATATATATATATATATATATATAAGAAAACCTACATGATTAAGAGATTCATTTTGAGTTTGATTATGAATATTGAATAAAGATTTTTTTTGAATTAAATCATTTTTCGTTGTCCTCCGAATAGGAACAGTTTCTTCAGGACACCTAACTTTTTCAAATATGAATTTTGACTTGATTCGTGAATTCTGACCTCTAGTTTCACTAATGTTTCTTTCAAAAATTGATTTTCTCTGCTAACAAAAAAAAGCAATGAAGATTCAAACAATGTTTACAAGCCATAAAAAATAAAATAAAAATAATATGTACTAAATTATTTTACCTGTAATTTGTGATTTTTTAACAAAGGATGATTAAAAGCAGGTTGTTTGTTAATGTCAACACAATCAATTATATATCCTGACTTTGTCTATGAAAGTCACCAAAATGAAATAAAATAAAATTGTCAGAAAGAAATGTCAAATTAAACCAATTGAAACCACCAATAAATTGTGTGAAAAATACATGAATACTCTTTATAGGAGGCTTGTTAAGGATGTTTAATTGCCTCTCCAATTCCAAATCTTCTTTCAACCCACTCTGCATACCATGATCTCTGTGACCAGTAATAATGGTCACCAAACACATAACCAGTAACAATATGTGTATCATTTTTGACATTTTCTTTTAGAGATGAATTAATTATGATAGATCGGAGTTTAGTACATTTCTTATTTATAGACAAATGTTCAAAAACAAAAAAAAATGGTATAATAATTTAATCAAAATAAAATTTATGAGGTCAAGGATATGAATTGAATACATTGATTTTTTCTTAATATTTTTTATTTTTTATTATAAATGAATATACATTTTTTAAATTTATTGAATAATAATGTATCTAGTTTATATATAGATCCGATACACTTTTTATTTAATAAATTTAAAAAAATAAAATTTAATTATAATAAGTAATAAAAGGAGTACTTTTTTGTTTTTTTTAAATGATAATTTTTGAATTAACCTTTCCTAGTTTTCTTCATCAAATTAAAAAAGTCATAATATCTCAATTATTTTAATATCACTTACCATCTATATACTTTTTAGCTTTTTTTACAAACACACATTCCATTTCTCAAATATACTACATCTATTTTAAATTATAGGTCATCTGTCCATTTCACACACAAATTAAAAATACATATAATTTTCTTTAAAAAAATTATAATTGTTTTCAAAAAGTATCTTTCAAAAAAAAAAATCTGATTTAATCCTTTACAAAATTTATCGGGACATATTAGTTTTTCTGTCAATATTTTTTTAAACCGATTTTTTCTTAACTTTTAAACCGTAATTGGACTATCAAGATGGATTTTATTTTTCATTTTTCATTTTTTAAATACTAAACTAATTTTTTTTTATTTTTTATTTCATTTTTAAACAATTCTGAATTAGTAATATTAAAAATGTCAATTTTTTTTCTTATAAGGAATCGAATATCTATTATCTATCTATTATCAATCTATTAAAAGTAAAGTACGTGGAAATTCCAAGTCTAACCTTTTGATTAGATGTTATAACTTTTCTTATTCCAAGGGTATATTTGTAACTTTCTGAAATACTTGCACCATATTGATTTGACAATAAATATGGCTGATGTGTCACACTATGGTTTTTTCTGCCACTTTTTATTTTTTTTAATTATTTCTAACTAACAACAATTATGCCATTTTGTTTATATTTACACGTTATAATCACACCTAATTATGTGCTACATACCACTTCCCAAAACCCTCATCCAAACCAAAGGTCATTCAATTTGAAATTTAAATTAAAACACTCATATTATAGTTGCTACGTACACTGGATTTTGAAATTCTAATTATTCCACTAAACCCTAATCACGTTTTTTGTTGCAAGATTTAAATTGGCAGCACAAGATGAACAACCATCATAAAAAAATGTTGAGTTCTTGAAACGGTAAATCTATACAACCAAAGAAATCGTTTTTCCAAAGATGCAACAAATAACTCATTCACCCAACTCTATTAAAACACAAATCAGAAAACCTAATTTCATCTTCTTCCTGCGCCGCTCCATCTCTTTTCATCTTCTCTCTTTGTTGCTACCAATTTCGTTTCGTTGTAATCTCAACCATCTAATATTCTCATCCTAACCTGTTAATTTATTTGTTTCAGACGTTCAAGCGTAAGAATGGTGGTTGCAACCAAGACCTCTGGATCTCAACAACATCAATAACCAACAACACCCGTTATAGATCTATAAAATAATTTCCTTCAAATGCAATTTTTAACGTTAATTTGATTCATACATATGTAAGTGACGAAGGTGAGTGATTGAAACATGTGATTGAAAGTTGAAACTGAAATGTAGTTTGGAATATCATATTTTATGTTGTATTCTTTTCGTTTTCAGGGTTGTCTTACTATTTCTCCTTTTCCAAAAAAAAAGAAGCTTAACTTGACACCTAAAATGGGATATCTTTATCTTTAGGTTTGAGAGTTGCAGAAGGGGATTTTTGAGCTTGCATGTGACGAACAACACAACCATGATATTGTTTATTTTTTGCTGTTAGGTATGTTTTTTTTATTCAGATTTTATTTCTCAATTTTTTTAATTTTTTTAATTAAAATATGAGGTTGAGTTTTTGCTTTTTTTATTTGTTTAGTCTTGGTGAATACAAAGTTCACACATATATATTTACGATTGATTCTCTAAATAGATAGAAGCTTATTTCTTTTGCTTCCTCTTTCAATTTATTATTAATCTATTTAAATTTCAATTTCTCCCATCACATCTTTGATAAAAGAAGGCAGTATATTCTCATCAATTTTGTTAATTATTTTGCTTACTATTATATTTATTTGTATCTAATTGAGATTTTTGTATTTATTTTCTTGATTTAATCGGTTCTTCTTTTGGAATATGTATGGATATGGAGGCTGATAATTGATTTCACACTTGAATCAGTAGGGGACCAATCAACAAATTGAATAACGGATTGTTTCACAGATTAATTTTTATACATTGATACGTAAAATGAAATTATGCTGATTGCGATTTGATTTTGTGATGTGAAAACAGGTTTAATATAGTCACAATCTGTCTTAACAAGGAATTATCAAACTTTACCTCATGATCGATTCAAGCATTTGTTTTTGAGGTTGAAGATAGAGAGAGGATTAGTGGTTCGGCTTATGGGGGTCAACAGGATATCTGTTGCACCAATGATCTTCTAAACTCACTGTGTGCAATGATGGACAGGGCTGTCACCGGCCTTCTCCCATGAATTCCTAAATTCACTGTGTGCAATGATGGACAGGGCTGTCACCGGCATAGTGACATTCTCCCATGAATTCAAATTCGCCTGAAGTTTATGGCGTGGCTTTTTATCATGCCCAAGAAATAAACAGTTTGTTTTTAGTTTTAATGCTTTATAATATTATTGTTTGCAGAGTTGTCTTAGCATTTTAAGTGCAAATATTCACCATGGTCATGGCTGAGTGACCATTTGCTTCTCTAATTTCACAAACAAAAATATTGCTAAAGAAGAATTGGTGACTGCCACAACAGAACCAGAGACCATTATTTTAAATCTACTTAATCGAGTCGATTTTCATATGTGATTCATCATCAAAGCCAAGTGTTAACTTATGTTTTCATTCAAGTCATTTGATAGTTAACCTTATAATAGTAAATATATGTTCAATATGGTGCAGATGATTTGATTTCCCGAGCATTTGATTTCCATCTACAGCCGTAATTGAAGATTAGGAAATTGAAACCATTGAATTTTATGCTTCCACAAGGAATATCAATGGCTTTCATTGGCAGGTACTGATTATATACTAATTGTATTTTCTGACAGATAGCAAATGCATTGCAATGTTTGGAGGAACTGTTTTTGGAAGAGGAACGAGACTTTGATGAACATGAGGATAGTCAAAGGGATGAGACTCTTATTCACCCGAACTTCTAAAGTAATATGTTTTTAAGGGTTCAAGAGTAGTGGGTGTTGCTGAAGTTCACTACCAATTTCAGAAGAACCATAATAGAAGAAAGTTTTTAACAAGATTTGATTCAAATTATGTATATGTATATTATTATTGCTTTCATATTTTGTATGTCATATCAACATTGGTTTTGACATAATATATTTTTCTACTGCAAATTATGTTGGCCTATGTTTTAATTTGCTGAAGTTCACTACCAATTTCAGAAGAACCATAATAGAAGAAAGTTTTTAACAAGATTTGATTCAAATTATGTATATGTATATTATTATTGCTTTCATATTTTGTATGTCATATCAACATTGGTTTTGGCATAATATATTTTTCTACTGCAAATTATGTTGGCCTATGTTTTAATGGAATTTATTTTACACCAAATTTTCTTTTGAATATAGCATTGCCTCTACCAAACACACTTCTCTAAGTTTCGTTCAATTAACATATTTACCATCTTTTTTAAATAGAATTTCTCTTCTCCTAAAGAGAAGATAATAACCTACAAGTTGGTGTTGATGTGCCTTCAAAATTCTAATTTATTTTGAATCGAAATTATAATTCTCATTTGTCGTGAAATTTGAATAAATTTTTTATTTTATATTGGTATTTTTTTATATTTAATTGCTATAATTTTAGAAACAAATATTACAATTTTTAATAAAATATTTACGATTTATTTTTTTAAAGTACGACTAATTAATATATTTTTATACAATATTAAAAACAAATATTATAATTTTTTAATCAAATATTGGAGTACCATTTAATTCGATACTTTACCAATATATCTTTTGAATGAAGACATTATTATCATTTATTTTTATTATACTTATATGGAAATTATTGGTGACATAAATATATTTAATTTTTATATAAGATTTGATTCCATAAAATATTATGATCAATAAAATTTGAATTCTCTTTTAATATTATAGGTTTGATACTACTTCATATTGTAGGAATATTATATACATTAGAATATATAAAGATATGAAAAAAATTAAATCAAAACTTTACAAATATATCTTTTGAATGGAGGTATTAATATTATTTATTTTTATTATATATAGAAAATATTTTGAATGGTCACATTAATACATTTTATTTTTATGCATGATTTGATTTCAAAAATTTATGATCAATAAATTTTGAATGGAATTATAATTTAACCAATAAAATTTTCTACCGACTTCTAAATATATTTGTGTATATTTTTTGAAAGGTTACATTTATATTCTTGAAAAAAATAACGTAGTTTAAAGGATGTATTGTTAACTATAAATATATTGTTAATAAAATTAACAAAAAAAGTATATTATAAATATATAAAAGATAAAGTAAATAAGAACTCTAATGTTTATCTTAAATATTTAATTTATCATTCTATAAATGTAAGAATAAATATTATTTTGTAATTATTTAGATCCTTATTTGACCTAAAATAAATTATTTCAATTTCTATAAAAAGGTTAATAAAACAAAATAAAATCAATTGAGATTTGATAATTTTTTTAAGGTTATGAAATAACTAAAATATATCATAATCTTTTCAAATTAACTTTATAATTATAATCATGATAAAAAAATATTAAATGGTAATCATGAAAATTTAATGATTTTTTCTGACCATTGCTTTTCTTT